AGAAATGAGGTCATCATTTCTTTAAATAGGGACACGCCCCTCATTTAGGGTTTTCACCCTGTGCCTAGTACGCACAGCGTACCCTCTGGTACGCCCAATGTACTAGGTGGCTCCGCTTCAAAATCACGCACATGAGTACGCTAAGCGTACACACACGTACGCCCCGCGTACTCAGCTGCCACCTTTCTCAAATAAGGGACCTAACTCGCCAAAACTTCAAACTATCATATCTTCCTCGTTATAAGTCCGTTTCCAATGAAACTCATATCCACGGAAAGGTGGCGAGAAGCCCTACGCTTCTAGCAACTCGTCGCAGACCCAAGGCTTCCTCATGCCCGGGTTGCAGCCCACGAACCCTAAATCACGGACGATCCGAAACAGGATGTTACATTCATGTGTCAATCAAAGCAAATAAATAGATTATAATCTTGATTATGAACAATCAATGATAAAAAAAAACTTTAGGTTAAGAAGAATTATCTGCTCTAATTGGCGTATACATTCAGATGGTTTTGTGTCATCTTGGATGATGTCAACTTCTTTCATTGCGCATAAACTTCCAGCCTCATTACCAGAAGAATTTTAATTCATAAAATAAGAGCAGAAGATGAAAAGAAGGTATACTGAGTTCTTTTCATGGTTATTGTAGATGACATACCCATTGATTGCTACAAATACACTACCATAAGTACCACATCTAAGGAGTTTCCCTTTCTTTCATTGTCCTTTTATCGATTGCACATCTCAATTATCCAAACTTTGATGACTCTGTCTCCAAACCTTGTTGAAAATGGTTATTCAATGTACTTGATGAACTGCTTTTTCTTACATCTTTCATGCCTGTAGGACCTAAGTTTTAAGATCGAAAGCAATCGAGTCTTAATAATCTTACTCTGGATATTGATCTTACAAGTAACAAATCTAAAAAAAGAAATAAGATGAAGTCTTCAATTCTTTAGAACATCATACATCATGACAAATTTGGGGTGTACGAACCAGTCACAAAAAGTCAACTGCCAATATATGTAAATTTCTAATACAAATCAACAGCAAGTTGAAAAAAGCAATGAAATTAAAAAGTAAATTGAATTGTTTACCATTTTCAACAGTCAAGGAGGACAAAAATCCAACTGGAGTGCTATTCTTCCTGATGATGTTTGAACTAGTTGAATCCATAGCGCTAAAGACGATGCAAAATCCAAATTAATTTGATTTGTAAACTCATAACCACTGGAATATGACAATCGCCATGAACTGCTACTGTGTGTCACATCCGTTGACAGGTGGAAGATCTTGGTAATGAATCGATGTTTCTCTCCTTTCCTGCTTCATAGGGGTTGACGACAACGACATATAGTGTAGAAAGTTCGGAACTCACGTGAATCATATTCAGGTTTCTTTTGTTGCTTGAAGAACTTTTCCTCGGGCTCGTATTTCGAGGCAGCAGTGACAGGATCTGGAAACTCCTGTTTTCCATTCTAATTTATTATATTTGAAAAGAATGAGCTCGAAGAAGAGCGATAACACAATAAGGAGCTCCGATTCTCATCTTGTTGATTTTGATTTTGAGTTTCATGATCGTAATTTGGAGCTCTGATTCTCATCTTGTTGATTTTGATTTTGAGTTTCCTGATCGTAATTTGGATAAGAATACAATGAAACCAACTGTCTGATCTTGGCAAACTAGCCCTTAGCCGGATGTATGATGTTGTGAGCTGTGAAATACGTTCGATTAGGGTATAAGAATTGGGGAAATGTTAATGGTCAAACATAATAGAGGCCGATTCATTTTGGGAGTGGGAATAAGAATCGTGGATTTAGTTTTTTTAATGGCACAAAAATAAATCTTGCTTTTTTTCCTTTATAATAGTGGAAGAGATAGAAGGCTCTCTTGTCGACATTAAATATAGAGTTTTTAGTGGCATTTTGAATTTTTATGTCACTACTAAATATTCATATTAGTGACATATATTATAAAGTGTCATTAAATCTACTAATTTTATAGTGGCATATAAAAATATGCCACTAAAAACATACTATAGTGACATATAAAAGACGTGCCATTAAAAATGTGTGCCACTAAATGACATTTTGTTTGTAGTGAAAACTCGTTAAGCTTTGTGCTTACGGTTTATGTTTAAAATGTTTTTAGTTACTTTTGTTTTCAAAAGGAAGGGTCCGACTTAATCGCACTACATCCCTGAAGATCTATTATGCATTGACTGTTTAAGATTTTACTCTGATGTTTTGATAATACTTTTATTCTGATCACCTTATGGGATAATGAATGAATGGTTTTGACTTATTTAAAATGAAATTTTTACTCGCTAATTTTGGATGTTAGACAACGTAAATTTGTCAAATTAGAGTCGTATTTAGGGTAAAATGATAAATGTTTACATAAACCTGTGACCTTTGTGTATTTTGCAAATGAGACTCTAATTTTGGAATTGAAAACGTATGAATAATAAAAGGCCCAAAGCCAATCGAGTAATTTAAGCTATTAAAAAAGTTAAGAGCTACTAATTGAAACATAGGAACGAGGAATTCTTACAGGCATGTCTAAGATGTGAAGAAACTCCAAACGACAATGAAGAAGCATAGGCCGTCGGTGGATTTGCCATTGTTGGGTTGAATCGGATGTAGATCCGCCTCCATCTCATGCTGGATGAACGAAGGTGGTGGCGGAGTGGGGGCGTTGAATGTTGTCGGAGTTTTATGTGTAGGAGTTTCTAGGTGAGAGGAGGGGTGAGAGGAACATATTTCTGGTTTAAGGCCAATTTTTTTTTGATTTTTTGTAGGAGAGAGAGAGAGATAGAGAGAGAGAGAGAGAAAGAGATAGAGAATTTTATTATTTTTTAATTATTTAAATAGATAAAGAATAAAAGTAAAATAAATACATAAATACATAAAGGGTGTTATAGGAATTTCGGGTTTTAGGTGGACTAAAACCACATAAAAACATAGTCAAAATGACCACGAACCCAAAAAGTTTGGACGAAAACCCCAAAAAATGCATACCACAGAGACCATATTTTCAGTTTTGTCTTAATTTTATCTCCAAACAAATTATACCGAAGATGTTTAGGGTTTGTTGTTTAGGGTGTGATAATTTCATTTTCAATAAAAAAAAAAAAGCATTCGTGTCTTTTAGATGTAACTAGTAGGTGATCTCGGGCTTCGCCCCGAGACGTTTTTTTCTAAATTAAAAAAAAATCGGTGCATTTAAAACAACAAAAACTAAAAAATAAATAAATGGATGATTTCTTAATAAGTCACAAAAATGGAGAGATTATTTATCTAATTTATGACAAATGTGTGCAAGATAGCAAACCCATGTAAAGATAAAAGTGCCAATCTAAACAAAATTCAGGGACCATTTATGTAACTTATGCATACCGGTTTGTAAAAGTGGGAAAGACTTAGGCTATGTTTGGCGTACTAGCTGAAAAGCTAGCTGTTAAATAAAAAGTTAGCTGATGGCTGAAAAAATAGCTGATAAAAAATGACGTTTGGTAAAACTAGCTGAAATATATAAAATTACATAAAAGGACATGTAAGAGTATGTGTTTCTATACTTAATTAAGGGGTGTATTTGGAAAATTTTAAAAAAGCTCCTAAAAAGCTAGTCTAAGTAGCTTTTCAAAAAGCTAGCTTATAAGCTACTTTTGGGCTTACCAAACACGGCAACATAAAAAAGCTCGAAAAATAAGCTAGCTTATCAGCTAGCTGTGGCGCGCCAAACACAGCCTTAAAGAACGGAGAAAGAAAAAAAAAGAAAAAAAAGTCAAGAGAAAAGTGTCAAGCTAAACAAAATTCAGGGACCATTTATGTAACTTATGCATACCGGTTTGTAAAAGTGGGAAAGACTTAAAGAACGGAGAAAGGAAAAGAAAGAAAAAAAGTCAAAGTGGTGAGAGGGTGGTAAAGTGACAAACACTAGAAACCTATGGGCAATATGTAGTGGACAACAGGAGCAAAGGGATTTAAAATGAGAAACATTAAAAAACTGTGGCCAATCTGTAAAAGCATTAACTATACTGTAGCTAAGGACAATGTAAATTAATATAGTATATAATATAAATACTTCATTTCCAATAGTATGTTTTTATTTACAATTAGTTGTTTTTTTTCCAAACAAACTATATCAAATTTGAACCAAATATGCCTTCATCATCTATGGAAGGACAAGCCTACTCGATGCATAGAGTAGATGTGCATATTTGGATCGTCCTTTTTTTTTGTTTGCCTATTAACCAACCAATCTAGTCCTAGATCGTCCGGTCCCTAGTCGCTCCAATAGTAGGATTCGATCCTCACTTTTAGCAACTCTTCAATCCTTATTAAACCCTAAACCGGTTCAGAGACCCGTCTCGTCGAACATTTCTATACAAATAAATGTTACAATTCTAATTACTAGCTACAAAAAACCCTTTAAAACAGTTATGTAAGTTATGCAAAAAAAAACGGTTCAAACGTCATATATTATTTTTTTTAAAATAATAATAATAATTAAAAAAAAAAAAAAAAACCCCTAGTCCGGACGAGCCCCTCAACTAAATTAGTAACTTAGCAAGTCAGTTAAGAGCACGATTCTCTACCATTTTGTTGCTAAGTGAGTGTTGAATTAGTAATTTATCAACGATTATTAGTTCGTTAGTAATTTATTGACAGATTTTCTAGTAATGTAAAATTTATCTTAGTTTTGTTCATTTAAAAATATTCTAACATTTTTTTGAAAGGAATATGTATAGTTTTAAAGGGAAATAGAATAATTTTATAAATTAAAGTAGTAAAAGAAACAAATTTAGAGTTATTTCAAGTTCGTGACCGAATTCCATCTTGGACGTTCTTATACACATACCAAAGACGTTCATAATCTTGAAATTCGTTCATCATTTTCTTCTTCTCGGCTCACTGAAAACCCAATTCAAAATCCATTAATCCGGCATTTCTTTGAAAAGAATTCTTAACAAATTGACACCCATCAAGCTTCCTCCATGGCATCTTCAAACTCACAACACACACGCCCTCCTGGTTCTTGTAGTTCTACCGGACAATCTACACCACCCGTCGGAAACAACCCACCGGAACTGCATCCACACGCTTCAAACGTCAACAGAAAGAAGAGACTCACCCACGGCCAACTGGCTACCCGCCTTTCTATGCCAAGCAAACGCCGTCAAACTGAAATCAACACTGCCTCCAGCCCACGTCGGAAAGAAGAGGTTAATCTTTTGAAGGACATTCTTGACTTTTACCATAAAACTCAGACGTACCCAGATGCTGACCTGGACAACCTGATAAAATTCTATCTGCAATGGATTCAAGGACGCGTTGAGGCTTATGCAGATGAATTTGAAGTGGGTAAAAAGATCGATGAATTGAATTTTAGATTCTTTAAGAAAATAGGGAAGAAACTGAATGGTGAAGATGTTGAAGGTGCGATGGATCCTATTGACATTGAAATCTTTCAATTGTCAAATCTGATTTGGGGATTAGAAGATGATCATGGTGGTATGGAAGCTTCATCGACAAAAGCGAACGAAGTTGGATCTTCAGCTTTGGCTCGTTAGAGCTTAGAATGCGTATAATCCCTCTGTCAAATTTTAACAGAATTCACAAATTACCTTCTAATGTCATGCATGAGTTGCCTTGGATGAATCAAGAACTGATGATTAGGGTTTAATGGTATCAAGAAGTTTGTTCATATGATAATTAGGGTTTAATGGTTTCAAGAAGTTTTGTTCATAGAAGCAATAGAACCGTTTGGATGTTCAAATGATTAACTTTTTGGTAAATGTGTTTGATGTTCATGTTCATTTCTTGATGATTGGCTTTATCTCTTACATCTTTTTTTTACATCCCATGACTTCAAATCTACTTTTTCATGTTCTTGATTTGTTTCGACTATTGAATCAAAAGTCAAAATCCGAAAGAAGAACTTATATTATAAAAATTTAAATCTCAAGAACAAAAGTTCCAAATCATATGATCATTATCTAGAAGTTTATTATTTTATCCCTAATCCTTGTTATTTTTTAAATTTTACTGGAATTTCATACA